GTCGTAGCATTTCAAAAGCCACAAAAAATATCGTAATTTACTTACAGGGGTCCTATCTTTCAGAAGCTCCAAGAACTATAATTGGCAGCATTTCTAACCGCAACCAAAGACCAGAAGACCAGAAGATCGAGAGACCAAAAAACCAGGCGACCAGAGGACCAGGGGACCAGGACACCAGAGGACCAGGACCAGGGGACCAAGAACCAGAGGACCAGGGGACCAGGGGCTGTGAGCCACACCTAAGTAACCGAGCCACACCTAGGACAAAAAAAAAACATGGCCCCTACCTCACGTAATTACCTAAGCTGAGCCAATTGGTGCTGCGGAGCTGCACCTAGTGTCTACATTGGTGCAGATTCTGGCATGGCGTGAGGCTTGGCAGCGGACCTGCGGAGAATCTTTTGATGGACCCGATGGCCCCTTCCGACGGGCCTGAGCGGTATCTAGCAGGCTGTGTCCAACCCTAACACTCATTTGGGCTCCGGCCACACCCGACGTTGGCGACGAGGCTTCCTAGCTTGAAGCTACAAATGCTGCGCAAATCCGCACTCTCGCAATCCGGGACGCAAGGACTGCAATGCCTTTGGACGCCGCTCTTCGTCGTCCGCGTCATCCCCATCGCTGTCACCTGCAAAGGAAAACGCTGATTATCTTTGGGCGGCAATGTTTGCACTATCTCACCTCCGTCATCGCTGCCGTGGGTCAGCTTTGCCAGATCAGGCACCACCTCGCCGTACACCGCCAGCAGACCTGAAACAATGGCAGCCTCCCGGTCACCCAAGATTTTTGAAGCATCAACCTTCGAGAACATCGGCTGCCGTGATCGAGTCCAAGACCTGGCCCCAAAAAAAGTATAGGGCGAGAAATCACGACATCTAGACCCGTCCCGAAGGCCTCCGTCTGGAACCAGGGTCGAAGGCCAAGCACCTGAAAAAGAAAGAAGAATCAGGGCAAACAGTCAGAGGTGGTTCAGCTCTTGGCAGATCATTGAGGCTTGCGCCCGCGGGCAAGACAGGTCCAAGAGCAACCCTTCACAGGTGCAGCCGCCGACGGCATTGGAGCTCTCGGTCAGAGCGCTGTGTGCCGCGTCGGCTGTGGGGCAGGTCCCCGCCACGCTGCAAAGGTCCACGTTGAAGAAAAGAGCAAGGCCACAGCCAACGGCACAGCCGACCTGGTATACAAAGTATCTCACAAACCCCCGCTTTCACAAGTGGCTCCTGATGGCTCTTGGTCAGGCCCCCACAAACTCGACCCTCGACGGCGTGAAATGACTCTCGGCGAAGCCGGCACCTGGAAAAGGATCGCCCTAAGCAAGCGCAAAAAAATGCCAGTCTGCGCCCCAAGCCTGTATCCACTGCCGCAAAGAGGGAGCACTGGCGCAATGGCATGTTACGTTTTCTTTGCAAGCCTGCACACCTGCCTCCATTGTGTAAGCGTACTTGACCCCAAATTGCTTGTATACCACGTAACCTCTGCCAAGGCTGAGCGAAATCCGCTTGAGCACCACTTCCTGAGGCTGCTGACGAGCAGTCTTTCGGTGAGAGCGCGTACACCGCCAATGGCACTGCCTGCCACAAATGCTGCCCTTGAGCAATGTGGGAAGGCCACATAAGAAGTCGGCAAGCAAGTGGGCAGGTAAGCTTCAAGCTCGAAACAAAGGTCGGAGTTGATCAAGCTGCACATCTTTGGGAACACGGCATTCGAGATGTGCGCCTCGTGGAACGTCACGATGGAAGTCTAAACACAAACAATAACCACCACGGAACTGACCGTCGGGTTGGAGCCATAGAAGAAGCAGCCAAACCTGAGGCACACAAATGGAACGGCATGTACTGCCGCTACGTCGCTACCCTTCAGATCCCTTCAGTCTCCGGCTTGGCGGAGTGGCCATGGAGGTCGAGAAACATCTCCACACCCCGGGCTGCAGCTCCTGTGACAGAGCTCAACCCTTGTGTACCTTCCAGCAGAAAAATGGCAATCGAGCCTACATGGTGCGTGGCCGCCGGCTGCAAACCCTGGCAGGCAGCCCCACCGTCACTAGCCACCACGAGGCTTTCTCTCAGCTTAATTCCCTTGGATTGGTCCGAGTGGGATGTCCGGACTCTCTCTTCTCTGTCAGATCCAGAGACTAGTCTCGGAGCATGTTCAGAGGTCACAAAGACAGCAAGTCAAATGAAACGTGATCCAATCCCTCGGTCTGCTTTGCTTTCTACAACAATGCCCAGCTAAAACAATTTTCCTTACAGGCGGGTGGGTGAAGTCATATCAACGCGCGCACTGTCACATCAACTTGGAGGTTTACCATGCAAACGCTGCCCCAAGCAAAGTCACGGCCACACCGCATGAAGCTATATCAAGTGCACCACACTGTACGGCTTCTTCCCCAAATTGCAACTGCCTCGCGCTTGAACAGTCAACACATATCAAAAACCATGGGTTTGGAGCTCACACGCACGCAAAATCAGCCTTCGAGCTCAACGTGCGCTGTGGTCTGTGGATGTCTGTGGCGTGTTGCCAAGCATTTGGAGCTCACGGAGAAGTCCCTTTATAGGCATCCAATAAACTCCTGCTTCCATGTTTCCAGAATGGCACGCAGGAAAGCTTTCGCTTTTCAGAAGTCTGGGATCAGCACCGACGATTAGAACTGTTGAAAGGGAGCCTACCTCTTGGGTACCAAACAGGGCGACCGAGACTTGTATCCCAAGACGGGTCCTTTGCAACCCAAAGCACGCAGTGGCACTGGTGCACAACAACTTCCAGGGAAATACGGCATGTTTTGAACTGCTGTTGAAGCATTCAAGGATACATGTCATATACACAAGAGCGAACGCATGACAGCGGCACAAACAAACTATGACGTCACAAGTAGTGTAGTGAGTAGTGTCCAGTCATGTTCAGTCCCGCCATGCCTGCGGATTCATGCGAAGCCCAGAACAAACAACATAACAGCAACACTGACAATATACCGGCAAGAAAGGCCTCTACCCCAAGCTCACACCGGATGCGACATTACGCAGCCCGACGCGACTAAAGAAGAAATTGTGAGTGCAACAGCACTTCCACTCCTGTGTTTGCTGGTAGATGCAGAATTTGGTGAAATTGCCTTGACATGCCTTGACTGAGTGTCAAATTTGCAAGCGGCCCCGACACGGGATTCTGTACTCTTGAGGCACATGGTCCTGGCCCAGAAGCCATGCTGCAAACCATACAGGAAAAGGCCCATGTACCCGAATCATTGTGCTCCAAAGCTCCAACATTCAAAAGTTAGTGGGAAAGCTGCCTCGTGTGGCTGGTTCTTTAAGATGATGATGCAAAACAAAGCAGCCCGTCCCTGACGCCCCATGCCTGTGAGAGGCTTCGCACATGGTTCTTTAGGGCAAAGATCACCGGATGAAGGATGGGGTTCGGATCATGCCTCAAAAGCATGCTTGATACCTGATGGGCCTGTAATGTTTGCTTCGTTGCAGCCATTCTTGGGAGCTTGCCAAACCCGATTCGGATCGACACCAGCCAAAGTACAACGAGAGTTCCCGTGCACGACCCCATCCACATTCACCATGGGAATGACCTTGGAGGCCAAAGCAGTTTGAAGATGTTTGAAGGTACGGGGGCAGTCATCGGGGCTATGGCGTGAAAGAGGTAGGCTTCACCTGACACAGCACCAAGTTATGGGCCTCTCCAGTCTCTTGAACTGCTTCTGAGCGGCGCAGGCGTCGTGCTGCCGGCGTCCGGCCCAGCAAGAACCGTAGCAAGCCCTGCACCGCCCATGACCTGCTTCAACAGAGGTGCCGCCTGTGGGGGAATGCTCTGCATCCTGGGCATCAGACCCTACCACCTCACCCGGATGCTGCCGGGCGGTGATGACCACGGCTGGCCTTGCAGAAAGAAGACTGGAAATCTGAGTATAATATGAGTAAAGAAAATTGCAAGGCTGCTGCTTGGCTTTCGCCTTGGACCTCAGACAAGAAAAGGCAAAATTTGAGGCATCGCTTACGACTGCCCTAGGCTCTGACTCATCGTCGTCCTCTCGCAAACCCTGCGTTCAGAAAGCAGAGGCGGGCTCTTGATAGTTGTTTGGGCTCTGCACCTGACTGATTGCCACCAGCGGCACAGGCAGCTGGCCGATGGAGCGGCATAATTCAGCACGTACAAAATGTGTCCTGTTGGGACCCAGGTGTGAGAAAACGTTCGGACTTGCTCCAACTCGCACCTAGCATCGGGCTCTTGCTCCAGGCAGGACAGGAAGCCCTGCATCATGCCTCAGCGAATAGCACTAACTGCAGACGTATTGTTGAGCGATTTGCATTGTCTCAGGCACCCGGGCTGTAGGTGTACGGCGGGTAGGCTGCGAAGAAGAGTTCATCCTTTCTTAATGTTAACCTGACAATAATAAACCCCCAGATCTTGTTGTGCGCTTTTGGTTTATGGAAGGGTGTCTTAATCATAGATATGAAGCAGGGGATTCGGGGTAGGACTACGTGGCACAGGTAGTCGTATTAGTAGTACTAGTACTTCTAATAGAAATAGTAGTACGAAATAGTACGAACGAATAGTGCTAGTAACATGAGTGACGGTCAAAACTCCTTACATCTGGAAATGCCAAATTGCGGTGCTTTCCAATGCTTCCTAGCACGAAACCACTAACGCGCATTTTCGAGGAAGACGAACACCCCAATACTAAGCCAGCCGCCCCCCCCAGGAAATCCTGAAATAAGCCTGATACAATAAAACACGCGTGAAAGAAAGAAAAGCGCACCGTAAAATGCGCATTAACTTTTCCTACCAGTAGTACTAGTAGTACTACTAAGACTACGGCTCCGATTACGACGACGACAGCTACTATTATCACTGTCCTGCTGGGATCCTTTGTGAGCCTGCGGCCTTCTTAGCTCTACGTCTTATGAAATTTCAAGTTTGGCTTTAACAGCAGAAAGAGCTTCATTGAAAACAAGACCTGCTGCAGGAATCACCCTTCATTACTGTCTGGAAGCTTCTAGGAATGAATTCTCGAAAAAGCCAACAAGGAGGAATCGTCAGTTTCTGCTCCCTGTAGAATCCCGGGATTTCCAGATAGCAAAGTCTGAGAGTGGCGACTTCGAAGCCTTAGGGCTCTACGAGATTCCCCTTCTGGCTGCTTCAGCAGAAAGAGCTTTATGGAAAACACAACCTGCATACCAAAATCAGGATCTGGTGCGGGGAATTTCATTATTGTCACCAGTATATTATTGCCGATCGAACTTGTTTGTAGGTTTTGTGGCTCTAAACTTTTTAGAAAGCAAAAGCAGTCTTCTGCATCTTATTTGGCCCGGCGGGAATATTTTATTGTCACCCCCTTCATTAATGACGGGTAAAAAAATGTTTGGGACCATTTGCGGGGCAGCAGATCAGGATCCAGGCGTGACCCAAGTGCCGAGGCTGATGGCTGCAAGCCATCGTTTTGATCACTGTACAAGTCAAGCAAGCAATGGGTGCCAAAAGCTGGCTACTTCACAAATCTCTAATCTCTAAACATTTCTGCCACGGTCCTCCTTGCGCTCAATGCCTCACAAGGTACAAACGTCATGACAATCCAGCCTGGCTTTTGCAGCTGTGCAGCTACACTGGGCCCCTCGCGGTAGGACCACTGCAGCGTGTGGAAATCCTAAGTGGCCCATGGCTATCCTGCCCCACCACCCCTCAAATTCTGCCTGAGGCCACAGCTCCACGCAGCCCATCCCTTCATGCAGACAGATTCATTGAGGCAGGAGAGAGCAGACTCACCAAGGCTGCCGGGGTTGTGGCTTGTCCTTCTGGCGGCTAGGCGCGTAGCTAACACCCTGAACAGCCCACGCATGCTGCCGGATCTTTTGTCTTCAGTTTCCGCCTGGCACCCGAAAGGCTCCCAGCGAGGCCGCTTCCGGGAGAAGACGAAGGGCTGCATGCCCTGCCAGCACTTCGAGTCCCCTACACCTCATCCTTTCTTTGAGGCCTGTTGGTAGAGCGACTTCTTCTTTCGCAGGTTGACGATGCGGAAGTGGACATTGCCACAGAACCCACCGTTCCTGCGGCCCAAGCGATGGATGTCACATGGCCCAACCCAAAAAGACCCGCACTCTAGATTCTGGTACGTCTTCGAGGCATGCGCATAAGAAAACGGTGGCGGTGCCGGTGGCCGTGGCGGTGTCGCTGGTGCTGGCGCTGGCGTTTTTGAATTTGGCCGTCCTGTGTTTAGCAAACAAATTCGAAAACGCCATCGCCACATTCACAAAACGCCCGGCGCGATTCGACGACGTCATGGGCACATTCGAAAAAAGCCTCGTCAACATTCGGAAAAAGCCACAACCAGATTCGGAAAATGCCTCAGCCGCATTCGGAAAACGCCGCTGAAAACGTACAACCACGTCTGTCTCGTTTACTAGAAGCTTCCTCCTTCGTTTCCGGATTCTGCTCGTGTGAAAAAAGAAAAGTCCATATCATAAAACCCTCATTCGGAAAACGCCCCTGAAAACCTACGACCATGTCTGTCTCGCCTGCTAGACTCTTCTTCCATCGTTTCCGGATTCTGCCCGTGCGAAAAAAAAATTCAATATTACGAAAAACCGCATCCGGAAAACGCCGCTCTCAGATTCGGAAAACGACGCAGCAAGATTCGGAAAACACCTCTGAAGACGTACGATCACATCTGTCTCGCCTGTTAAGCTCTTTTTTCTTCGTTTCCGGATACTGCCCGCGCGAAAAAAAATGAGTGAGTGAGTGAGTGTCGACCTGGGGTGCCCTCCGGCCTACGGAAACAGGTCCCTCTCACCTTCTTTGCCCCTCCGCATGCGTCATCGGAGCTGGGCAGGGTGTCCCCACAAGCCAGGCGGCTTGGGTCGGAATTGGTCACTTGGCAAGACAGCCCATTTCACAGGAACAGAAGCTCTTCCCTCGGTGATCACAGAGGTACTAAGCTGGGGACACGAGCTCAGAGATGGGCGGGAGGCAAGGTGGTCGAACCAATCACACACGCACCGGCAACAAGACTAAGGGCAACAGCAATTTCAGCTGATCCCCTTGTGGCTGCGAATGCTCGAACGGTATCCCCTCGGCATGCGGGGCAATGCCTGAAGCTGAAGGCACCACGCGCGAAAAAAAAAATCAATATTAGAAAAAGCCCGCATTCGGAAAAGCAGCCCCCAAACCCGCAGCCAGATTCGGAAAACGCACGGAAAACGTTGATTACGTCCGTCTCGGCTACTACATCCCTCGTCCTTCGTTTCCAGATTCCGTCCGGACGAACCATGTTTTTGGGGTTTTTGAGCCTTGGACGCCTGCAAACTTACCGAGAAGAACCTAAACCCTAAGAGGCCTTAATCCCTACAAAGCCCTCGAAGCACCCAAAACCGTTAACAAAATTCTAAACCCTAAAAACATTAAACCCTGAAAGACGTAAACCCTGAAAACCCTGAAACCCTAAAATCCTCCTAGACCCTAAAAACCCTAAACCCTAAAATCCTTAAACCCTAAAAACCGTAAACCCCAAAGACCCTAAACCCTAAACACCCTGAACCCTAAAAACCCTAAATCATAAAACCCTAAAAAAACTCTAAACCCTAAAAACCTTAAACCCTAAAAACCCTCAACCCTAAAAACCCTAAACCCTAAAAACCTTTAACCCTAAAAAAACCTAAACCCTAAACACCCTGAACCGTTGAGCCCTAAACCCCAAACACCTTAAACCCTAAAAACAAACTAAACACTAAAAACACCCAAAGGCCTAAAAGCCACCTAAACCCTACAAACCTCATAAACCCCTAAACCTTAAAAGCCCCTAAACCCTAAAAAACCATAAACCCTAAAAACCTTCAACCCTAAAAACCCCTAAACCCTAAACACCCAACGTTACAAAAACCCTAAACCCTAAAATCCCTAAACCCTAAAAACCTTTAACCCTCAACACCCAAAAAAAAAACTAAACCCTAAAATCCAACTAAACCCTAAAAACCCTCAACCCTGAAAACCCTAAACCCTAAAAACCCTAAACCCTAAAAACCCTAAACCCTAAAAACCCTAAACCTCAAATACCCTCAACCCTAAAGACTCGAAACCCTAAACACCCTGAGCCGTTGAGCCCTAAACCCTAAACACCCTAAACCCTAAAAACCAACTAAACACTAAAAACACCTAAAGCCTTAAAAGCCACCTAAACCCCAAATACCTCCTAAACCCTGAAAACCCCCCTAGACCTCAAAAACCCCTAAACCTTAAAAAACCCTAAACTCTAAACCTTCAACCCTAAACACCCTAAACCCAAAAAACTCTAAACCCTGAACACCCTAAACCGTTAAAACCCTGTACCCTAAACACCCTGAACCGCTAAACCCTAAACAAACACTAAATACTAAAAACACCCAAACCCTTGAAAAAACCCTAAACTCTAAAATCCCTAAGCCCTAAAAACCCTAAACCCCAAACCCTAAAAACCCTAAATCCTAAAACCCTTAACCCTAAAAACCCTAAATCCTAAAACCCTTAGCCCTAAAAACCCTAAACCCTAAAAACCTTAAAGCCTAAAATCCTCCTAAACCCTACCAACATTAAACCCTGAAAACCTCGAACCCTGAAAACCCCTAAACCCTAAAAACCCTAAACCCTGAAAACCCTAAACCCCAAAGACCCTAAACCCTAAACACCCGGAACCGTTAAACCCTAAACCCTAAAATCCCTAAACCCTAAAAACCCTAAACCCTAAAAACCCTAAACCCAAAAAAACCCAAACCCTGAAAACCTTTAACCCTAAAAAACCTAAACCCTATAAACCCTCAATCATGCTTCTGTGCTTTCGGGGTGAGGCGGTCCAGGTTTAATTGCCGACGTCCTGTTTTCTGTCTCTCGCGGTGCTGTTTTTGAATCCGATCCAGTAAGTTTGCTTTTGGTCGTCCTGCTTTCTGAATGTGGCGCTGTTTTTGAATCTAGCGCTGCCGTTTTTGAATTTGGCCGTCCTGTGTTTGAATGCCGCAATGGTATTTGTGACTTTTGTTTGCTGAAGGTTGCCGCTGTTTTCTGAATGTGGCTTGTCTCCAATGCCAACATGCCACCGCGCCAACATCGGCATCGCCGCGGCATCGCCACCGCCATCGGCACCGACACTGCCACCGGCCCCGCAGCAAGACGCAGCATTCCAAACAATGAGGATGAGCAAGCAGATGAAAAGGAGCTAGGAGGGTCCTCGTAAAATGCAAGAAGGCTGATACTGGCACAGTGGCCAAGGCTTGCATGCCCGTTTAAATGCTCATAATGCGTTGGCTGCTCACAAATTTCCCGCCGAGGTTGAGTGGTATCCGAGACTGGACAAACACAACAAGCAGAGTGTTTGTGCATCCAGCTTCAGAACATGCCGCCAAGTGCGTTCCTACTTCCCAAACTGGCACGGCACTTTTGCGGTTAAGATGTCGCCTGTAAGGCGGGGGTCCTCAAACGCCCCAAACCCCAAGGCCCGGACAGGGCGCTTCTGCACCCTCCGCCCCGGGGTTGGGCGTAGAGGCCCACCCTCGCAAGTGGAGATGCGTATGACGCCCTACGGGCGGAACAGGACGCCAACGCCTGATCCGTATTATGGTTGAAAAACCGCCTGGGTTGGGCGGGTGGGTTAACAGGCGCTTTGAGCAAACGAGAGGCTGCGGTGGACCGCCGGTTTGCTTCATGTTACAACATGTACGCGTGCATTATCGAACAAGCCGCCAAGTGCGTTGTTACTTCCCGAACTGGCACGGCACTTGGGATGTCGCCTGTAAGGCGTGGGAGTCCTCAACTGCCCCAAAACACCCCAAGACCCGAACTGCACCCGCCCGGCGCCCCGATCCCCGCAACGCGCCGGCCAAGGAAAAGGAAAGCTAAAGCTCAGCTAGGTCAGCCGCAGCGCCGTGGATGGCGTACTCGAGGTCGGCGAGTCGCCAGACTCCAAAAGGCTGAGGGCTGAGATGAACGCCACCCATTCTTGAGGTAGGACTTGTTGACGGGCCACCGCCGCCAGGATCTGGGCCAGGACTTCCAGCATGTAGATGAAGGCCCGCCGGGTCTGGAACTTGTTGACAGGAGGGCACCCGCCCCATGTCATAGTAGACCTGGTCGTGGACGCGGACCACATAGCCCCATCCATTCTCCGCCTTGCGCTTGGCGGTTGCACTGTGCCCGAGGAGGGGACATAGCCCGCCTTGCGGGGGGTTTCGCCTTGGAGGAAGAACGCGTCCGCGTAGATGACAAGGGTCATTCTTTCTAGCTGTGGGCTTGAAAGGAATGAACCTGGGCGGTGTGTTTTGCATCACGCCCAGCACGGTGCAGAGGGCCGCCAACAAGCACAGGTCCGAGCGCGGAGCGCCAGACCTTGCCGAAGACCACCTGGTTGAAGTGGGCTGATGTTCCCAGCAAGGTGCTGGGCTTGCTCGGGCGCGCAAGCTTCCGCCTCCAGGATGTTCCCGATCATGGCAATCAACTTTTGGATCCTCCTGGGTGTCGGTGACAGGGTGACGCCCTTTCGGCTGAGGGCAACCAGACGCCCTGCACAAGGTGCTCCTTGTCAGGCTGTTGCGCCTTGCACTCCTTGGCTCAGAAGTCGCCATAGCCGCAGCAAGTGGTGGTGTGCCACCGCCAGGCACTCCTCGTCCATCTCTCAAGAGATTGCCATGTGAGGGCGGCCGAACTCTCGCTCTGGAGCGTCGCCTCGTTCTGGCGCTGTTGTTTGTTGTTGGGGCTGGCTGCTGCGCGCCGCAACCAGGCCCGCAAAGTTGCCCGGCCCGGGTGCTATCAGGTTGAGTCATTTGGGCCAAACAGCGGCCGCCCCAATGGGACGGTTTGAGCCCAATGGCCATGCATCTGTCATGGGGCGAGCAGGCGGTTTCGCCTAACGTGTCTCGACCCGGAGGCCGTAAGGAACAACACCACCACTGATGGACGCCTCCGGCGACCATGCCCGCCGCCAGAAACAGCGCCGCAACACCCACCACGCAACTGCAACACACCACCACAGCTGCCGAGACCTCCACTGATTGCACCGCCGGTGACCACGCCCGCCACCAAACTACGGTGAACATGTGTGGGCTGCAAAGGCGGCACGCGCGCAAGACACTCACACAGCAAGCGGTGGGCGCAGCAAATGCGGCACAAACATGGTGCACGCAAGTAACGCAAGACATGTAAGCTGCAAACGGTGTGTCAGCATGAAACGCCCCAGCGGCGACGCGGCGCATTCTTTTTCCGTTTGCATGTGCTCACTCGCCCGTTGGGGTCTTGCGCCCCAGTGGGCTTAGCGGTGTTGGGCAGAAAGTCCGCCCGCGAGACAACGACTGTGTGTCGGGCCCCGCGCGCAGAAATGATATAGAGGCAAAAGCGCCCATCAAGGACGAATAAATGAACGCTGATTTGAGCGGTGCTCCCTCACTGCGTCCTTGCCGGTGGCCAGCCGAGGAAGATGCTCTGCCGAAGGCTGGCGCGGTGAGTGTTCAGCGGTCTCCGCCGCGCGATCGGGCGGAGACAGCGGCCGCGCTCAAGATATGCACCGCTGCACGCGCTAACCAAGGACCTGCCGTAAATCTGTCCGGGACAGGGACGGGGTCCAATCCTGCGGTAGGCAGCGGACAATAGAAATAATCCGCCTCCGCGGAACGCGGCCCTCCGAAATCGCCTGCTCAAAGTCGATAACGTCCGCCAATGTGGCGGCAGCGAGGTCTTGGGTCACTTGGTACGGGCGCCAGCAAAGGGCCCTTGTCTCTCTGCAGCCGGCGATCCTCCGTTCCGTGAGTCACGTGGCGGGCATCCGCCTTGTGGGGCGGTCTGATGGGCCATGGCCGCCGGTGATGCAGGCAGTGGCTTGGCCACGGGCCGCCAAGTCCGCCTCCTCTGGCTTGCATCTTTCTAGCACTGCGGTCCTGGAACGCCAAGGCCATACGGTTTTCTTCCGCCCTGGTTGGCAGGGCTTGCTCCCTGACTTGGGCCAAGCGGTGACTCCGATAGCTCGCCTCCATGCCGTAGTAAGACTACAAGTGGCTGCAAAGCCGTGCTGTGGGCAGGCGTGGTCGGTGCCGCGGTCGCCTTGCCCGTGTTCAGAGGATCCAGCACCAAAAACCGATGGGGCCGCCTTGGCGAACTTGGGCGCCGCCTAAGCTGTGACCATAATAGCCAGGGTCGCCTGGGTAGGCGGTGGCTTTTTCAAATGCTGAGCGAGCGCCGGAGGCGTGGCCTGTTGCGAGGCAGCTGCCCTTAGATGAGGTGGTGGATCCTTCAACAAGGCCTTCGGAGCCGCCTTGCTAAGAGTTTTGCTAGACCCGTGCTTTTTGGCGCCCTGCTTGGCCGCCGGACGTAACCGGCACCACGTTCATTCCGCCTCAAGCAAGGCGGCAGGTGCACCAGTAGCCTCGAAGACCACAGGAACACGCGTCCGGTCAGCCCAAAAAGACGCGTGGACGTCGCCTGGTTGCCAGCCGTCTAGATGGGCTCCGCTGTTAGGACGGATGCCGCCCCAGGGGGCGATGAGGCGGTAGGTCCCAAGGTTGCCATCCGCCCCATCGTCATAGCTGGACTCGCTGCTGCCAGACGGGGTCACGAAGGCCTCCAACGCCCTCTGGAGGCGGTGACGTTGGCGGCGAGGGTCGACACCGCCGCCTCGCCGGTGACGCCAGTGTCGATGACCGCCTGGAGGGCGGTAGCGGCAGCGGTGAAATGGCAGGAAAACATGGCTCAAAGGCAGTTTGAGTGAAGCACTTAAAAGGCGCTTTGAGCAAACGAGCGGCTGCGGTGGACCGCCCGTTTGCTTCATGTTACAACATGCACGCGTGCATTATCGAACAAAGAGTGAAGCTGACTGACAGCATCCTGCAATGCCAGCTTGTCTGGGCTCGAGAAGAAAAGCACAAGTACCTACCAAAAGGCCTTACGTTTCCATCCACACCACGCCTGGTCAGGATGCAGGCAAGGCCACTTTTCATATTCGATTCCAGGCCAATGCACCTTTAAACCCTAAGCATCAGCGAATTCTCAGCTTTCCGGTTTGACCAGTCCGTCGCGCCGTCTCTTTTGCTGAGGAAGTGCTCACGAAGAGGCTTGATCATGACAACTCCGCAAGCAGATCTGCCCTCAAAAAAATCATCAGCAATGCAATGCAGGGGCAAGGGAGGTCCTGATGGAGAAGTAAAACCACTGTGTGTGCCCTTGAGCACTTTGAGTGTCTGCATCCACGAGAAGCTCGTACCTGAACACAAGCAATTCCTTGCTGTACTGCACGACACCATCAATGTGTAGAGCTTTGACAACTTTACAGCTCAGCCCATGGCTCCAGCTCCGAGCTTGGGCTCCCAGAAGGGCCTGCAACAAGAGATGTGTGCTTTCCACTTGAATATTTCCAAATGCAGCCACTTCTCACTAGTGTTGCTGTGTATTCTTCCTCCCCTCACAGTTGTCCGATGCTTTCCCAACCTGACTCCGCTCTGACCAGAATCTTAGTTCCAACTGGTCTTTAGAGCCACGTATTTACAGCGCACAGCATCTGAATCTAAGCTGCCGTAGGCGCTTCCAGCATGCATTGCGGGGCTCGCTTTCCAAACATGGCAAAGTTGCCAGCACAGTTTAAGAGAAACACAGTGTACTTTAGTCACTTTAGTCTGTTTCGTAGGTTTCCTGCTTTTGGCATGAATTTCCTACTCTTGGCATCTTTTGGGCAATACTTGCTTCCACTCCTGGGGTTTCCCACTTCTTGCTAGGAGTTCCTGCTTTTGGCTCAGATTCGTAATCATTGGGCCGCCGCTCCTCACCCTGTCTAATTCTCTACTGTAATCAACTCCCCAGCAATCGTCTATGCTTCGAGACTGTGAGGCCTCCTATAGTCTACAGGCCCCAGGCCAAATGTCTGGGCGGATGCTCCCATAAGCGTGTCAGGCGAAGCATCGCCGCTTGCGACATGAACAAACTCAAAAGACCAGGTATGGGTAGTCGGACAGGTGAGCAAAAGTCGAATGAAAAACCCTGCTTGCTGGCCTAGCTTAAAAACTACATTTCTGGACTTTCTTTCTAGGACCCTGCATCACCTTGGTGACCCCACCATGGTTGAAAGAAATATCCTTGGGCAACCTAGGCTGGCCGAAGCAGAAATCGTTAAGGCAGCACCTTTCTCACATTTGTCCTAGTCTTCTGATTTGCTTGAAGGTTGCAAGTTCACCTGGTGGCTGCTCTCTGGGATGTCCTTCTGTCCTCACGTGCCGCGAAAACTGGGCTACCCTCTCTCCTGTGAAGTGCTTTTGGCCTGGATTACATGGTAGGTTTGCGCGGGCCCACAATGCAAAATGGGCAAGTTGCCGACAAACGCCGCGCATTGTGATCATGCATGCTATCTGCGACTTCTTACGGATCCTGACAATACGTTTCTTTATTGTTCAATCGACATAAGCACAACAAGCCCTCTGGCCTGCACCTTTGGCACCAGCCAGCTTGGCGGACAGCAGGTTTCCACACTCAAAGTGCGATGCGAAGCGCAGCCTGAAGACTCCAGGCTTCAGCACTGCGCTGTGCCGCGCTGTGCTATTCTGTCCTTCCCTTCTGAGTCCCCTGGCGGCCCATCTGCCGTGACACGCCGCGGGAAGGGCGTCTGCGGGAATGGCGCCTTTGAGGGGTCGCCTTGTGGCCAAGGCCTCAGCCCAGCTACATGTCCATCTGGACAGCTGAACGGGGCAGATGCAGCTGAGCTCCCAAGCCGACCGTCTTCGAGCTCTGCTGTCTGCCGCACCAGCTCCGCCAACATCTGCCGGCGCAGCGCGAGCTCCTGAACCACGAAGAGGACACAAGTGCAGCAGAACAGACACAGATCCCTCCAGATGCTCAGTTTACGCAGCTGTGTTTGCACTAGGCCAGAGCTTCCTCTGGACTCTTGCGCTGGAAGACCGTGCGTAGCAACTTGGGCTCCTCGCCTGTCAAGTGCTGAACACAGCAATGCACTGCCCTGACTGCTGAGAGACCTGCATCGCGGGCAGGCGAGGCCTTGGCAAGTGCAGACAAACTTGTTCATTCAAAACAGTAGTGACGGCGCAATCCGCTTGTTGATGGTTTCTCGCTGAGGGCCGTTCGCTGCGGCGCCCCGTTCGTGCACTCATTGGCCATGGAGGCTGCAATGGTTCACGAATGCCCCCACATGTTTCCTGGCTGTGGACCTGAAGGGCCTGTGCACCTGGCCCTTCACTTGCACGTACTCAGTGACAGCTTGTGATATGCTATGAACTTTAGGAACTGTGCGCCTTGGGCACGCAGGCTGACAACTGCACGCTCCCAGCCCTCTTGGGACAGCGGTTTGAGTCACGTCCTCTCCACGCTGGCAAAGCTTAGTGGAGAGGATCAAAATCATGGCACTAAGAGTGGCAAACAGCTGCCCTGCATGCCTACCCTTTTCTGTCTGTCGTTGTGTCGTGGTGTGGGCTGTTGCCACAAGAAGTCAGCCTGGCAAGGAATGATCTGTCTGGATAGCCGAACCTCAAAACTACCATAAGTTCTGATCCTGCGCAAATCCAAGCCGAGCTGATGGAATGTATCTAAACTTCCAACCTGGCACACAAACCTGCTCTACCCAACCACCACTTCGGGTGGGCGAGTCCCAGACCCCTGCAATTCTTTACACTAGTGTACACTCTCCTTGTGGTCGAAGAGCCTGTGCTAGGCGATTAGTATATCCGCCATAGGCCCTCAAAAGATGAGCGCAGTCAGCCCTAGCGCCATTGCTGCCGGAGCCAGCTGCATTGCCGTGGTTCCGCTGGCACTTCCATCGTTTAAACTTGCCGTGTTGTCGACCAAATCGATGACCACACCGTCGTCCAAGTAGTCGATACTTGGGTTTGAGCCGGCAGGCACCACCATGATCTTTTTGTAGGTGGGGTTGGTCAAGGTGATGTTGATGGAGTACACGGTGTTGTCGCAGCAAGTTGGGGCCGAAACTTGGTTCTTTGCAGTGAATCCCAAGGGGGTCGAACCGATCGGGATGTGGCCACAGTCATCCACCGGCAAGACAACGTAGCCGGAAATCATTGTCTCATCTACAACACCATTCAGCATGTTCGGTCCGAAAGTGACCAGGCCCTGATAGCTTCCAGAAGTTGTATCATCATCAGTGAAGCTGGCGCCGCACACTTTGCACTGGAGGTACGCATCCTGAGCGTAGAGCTCAGTCACCTGCTCTGATTGCACTGGGCAGAACCAGGTGTAGGTGCCAGCAACTACGCACTTTGAGAGGTCATCCGCGGTCGCAGCGGTAAAGGTGACGTTGCAGGTTGATCCAAAGGCCAAGCTGTCACAGCCTGCACTGGCCGTCCGATCCAACTTGCTGAACTCCTCCCCATTGCCACTAAGAGCAAACGTGGCCAAGCAGTTTGCAGCAGTGGTAGTCGTTGTTGTGGTTGTCGTAGTGGTTGTTGTTGTGGTGGTAGTGGTCGTGGTGGTCGTGGTGGTCGTGGTGGTTGTTGTGGTGGTAGTCGTGGTGGTCGTGGTGGTCGTGGTGGTCGTTGTGGTCGTGGTGGTCGTGGTGGTTGTGGTGGTGGTCGTGGTGGTGGTTGTCGTTGTTGTCGTCGTGGTCGTGGTGGTGGTGGTCGTGGTGGTCGTGGTCGTCGTCGTTGTGACTGGGCAGGTGTCCGTACCCATGGTCTTCAGCAGCATTCCCGTTGTAGGCGTGATTGAAGAAGGGAAGCCCGACCAGCAAGTCGTCTGAGACGCCGTCAAGTTCACCAAAGAAAGCCAAAGGAACACCGAGCGCACAAGCGCACCCATCATGTCTCAAGCTGCGCTCTTTGCAACTACCTACTCACTAGCGCCCACCGGAGGGTGCCCCAAAAACTCAAGAGCCAACATACGAATACAACAGGATGCTTACGTGGCAAGTGGTTTCTGCCCTAGGTCCTACCACGTAGGATGCCTGGCAGATGCATGTCAACTTCAGGCAGACTTTCTTTAGCGTGTGGGTCATGCTCCTCACTGCGGGTGGTGCAAGTATCCGTTGTGAAATTTGACGTGTTTTGGCACGGTCTGTTGCCTTGCCATCTCAGCCCTGCAAGGATTGGTCTCTGGATCTGAAGATCCGCCGACCCTGGCCTGACGGGGCGAGCGCACAGTGAAGCCTAGCTTTCTCAACCGCTCCAGTCTTTTTGAATCTTCAGATTAATCTCAAACACTAGGCCTTGTCATCGAAGACTCTGTCCAGGCCATCACGCAAGGTTGGATCTTTTACTAAGTTAGTTTACTCTCAGGATAGCAGTTCGAGCTTTGTGTACAAGTATTGCTTGATGTCATTTCCATAGCTCCTTTGGCAGAGCGAACCACCCTGAAAACTACACGGCCGAGCGAAGGGGAATCGTCTTGGGAAGCGAAGCAGCGAGGACATACGTGAAATCACTAGTGAGAAGAGTGGAACCTTTGGGGGAGTCACAGTGAACCTGAAACAGCGCAAAAGTGCTCCGGATTAAGAAGCCGCCAAATCAGCATGTTCCAGAATGAAGGCGCAATGCCAACGACTGGTTAACACGATGACAAGCAAATCTTGTGAAGGCCGCAGATTCGATGCATGTGGGTGACCCAGCAAACCCGTCATCCCCATGAGTCGCTTTTGAGTGACTGCCCCATTCTTTATCAGATTGCTATCTGAATTGCATTGCTTTACATGCCACATAACACAAAAGGCGTTGTGGAACGCAAAGCCCCTTTGCCTTCAGCCTTAAATTTCAGGGACATATCCATCCCGCCCTTAAAGTGCCGAGCACAGAAAGAAGCATAGCAGTCTTCGCCAAACGACGGAAGAAAGGCAGGCAGGCATTGGTCCAGCTTGTACCAGCAATGCAAATTTGGAGCATGACTCATGCCTGCTGTACTCAGGTTCAGCCCGCAACTTAAACAAGGCTCCAAACCTAATTGTTGACCAGCGCTACAAGGGAGGAAGCAAGGAAGGAAGTGACACAGGTGAACCGATACTAGCAAGGTCTGTCGTGTCTCTCCACGGCAAGCACAGGAACAACAGAGAATGTATACCGCTCAGACGCTGTTTTCACCTGCCTGCGGTGAAACACGTTGCGGAGCAACTCAGAATTCGTACAAATTCTCCTCCTGGCAGGAAGCAGGTTTCTTGGCAGTTGGGCAGTTGCCATCAGGATACTGTCCAATGTGGAGGTTCAGGCGCCAGGTCTAGTGGAGATGCTCCTCTGCCGCTGCTCCACCATTGCCCGTTTTCGCTGCCTGGCAGCAAAGCTGTGCAGCAGCCAAGGAGGAAACACTCAAGTCGTGATCTTAGAAGAAGTTCCACTGCTCAGGAGGCCTCCTCCGCCTCTCGGGCGTCCACCAGTTTGCTGACCTTCTGCACCCACGATGGGAAAGTTGACTTGTATATGAATTCCGTACTTCCCGCCTCGCCAGTCTTGATGCCTGCCTTGCAAAGCCAAAGGCATCAACGTTGCAAGTGGTGAGTGGTGATGTCACACACCAGCCTTAAGCAGTCTGGCGCCTTTCTGCCTTGCAGCAGAGGCACGAGCCTCAGTCTTGCGCCTATATGGCGACTTTGTCAGAAGGAGTTCGGTCCGCATTGCTAGCCAAGGTATGGGCTGTTGCCAGTTGTGATTGAAAACAATGCGTGGCTTGTTCAGATTGGAATGTATCTGCTTCAACATCAGCAAGTATACTTGTAGTCACGAGAGTCCATGACACAGATGCGTACCTCTGCTTGAGGAAGCAGAGCTGGGCATGATTCTGTCAGCAAGCCCTGTTACACAATTCCATAGCCTATGTTTCCTGGCTCCCATTCTCGTCAACCGGCATGTGCCGCCGTCGTGTATGCCATACGTCACGGTTGTCTTGCTTGCTCATGTACACCCTCTGATGTCTTGCCATACCCGCAGGACCGACTCTGACTTCCCAAACCCGCACAGCTACAAGACTAAACTTGAAACAGATAGTCTGACATCGGGGGGCTTGATTGGCTGGAGCTGGCGCTGCGTCCGCCGAAGCCTGTCTCGACGCGACACTTAGGCATGTTGACTCTGCTTCAATCACACACAAGCGGTTGCATTCAGTTGAGCTTCTGAATACAAGCCCCTGCATGAAAAAAAATTCTCGACTAGATGCACGCAGTCAAGTGATGTCTACGGCGAACTCTGGATGTGGAACATTGCTGTTGAAGCCGAGTAAGCAGGAATGTCTCTATGCAGCAAGACGCCTTGGATTCAATTTCCTGGGGCTCAGTCGGCCTCGCGATGTCAAATAATTCCGCTGACTCGCCTGTTGCCACTCAGGCCTGCTCGCTGACGCTGCGCTCGCTGTGCGGTCATTTCGACTAGCACGGCGGAGAACCTGGAGCGATTGTCACGTTAACATTTGCACGTTCAGTAGAGCTGCTCAAGTCACAACAGCTGTCTCATGCGACGTGTGCAGCCTGCACCGAAGAGGCTTGAGATGCGCAACCGCCTATCGCAACCAGGGCGCCTGGACCTTCTCTGATGAGGTCATCTGCGCATCCTGGCAGGCGACTTGTCTTGACCAAGAAGCTCATACCGTGATGTGAAAGATGTGGGAATCAGCATGCCTGGGCGCCCCTCTTTCATTGCGTGCGAAATGCATCAATTAACGGCATCCTTTTCGAAGCCATATGCGATGAGCAAAGAAGGTCACAGCAAGCCTGCCGTTAGACCTCCTCAAAGGACTTCTGTTGGTGAACTGTGAGTTGAGTTTTTGCAGCACTGACAGGTCTCAATGACCTTTGCACGACCAGACGATTCGACGCTGAATGCACTTGATAGACCTTGCTTATGTTTCGGTCCGGGCTCCTGGGCCGACCTGATGCTTCTGACAAGTGGTTCGCTTCAAAACAGATACGCGTGGAGATGAGAGAAAAAGATGCGTGTCGCAAACTGCATCTCACGAATGTGGTAATGCCATAGCCAACCACCGGGTACAGAGCCCAGACCACTGCCAGCAGATGCCACAAGAACCCAGCTGCTTCAAGATCGCGAAGATGCTGACAAACAAAACCAGGCAAGTCATCAATCACTGTAGCTCAAATCACTGCAGACAAAACAGACCTGCACGCAGCTTTCCCTCTTGAAGATGCCAACTAGATCATTCATTTTTTGTCTCCTTTGCCAATTCCTGCCAGCATATGCCAACGCAGGATCTTTCAAATGTTTGGTGATTCTTCCCAAAACGCGGCACGATGGACCAAATGGATCCTTCAGCAAAACCTTTCCTGAAACCTTTCTGTGAAATGTTTTTTTGCGGCATGCTTTCAGCCATGTCTTGCACAAGTACATCTCTAAGGAAGGACCCCAATAATAGACATGGCCAAGATCTCTTCCACAGAACTATCGACGCCCCCTATCTTCCTAGCCACTCTTGAGGGCTTCCACAGAACTATCGACGCCCCCTATCTTCATAGCCACTCTAGAGGGTATCTGCATATTGACACCAGACAAACTGATGAATGTTATGGGGTACGGGTTTTGTTTTCCTAGGGCTGCGGGCCCCGAGCCACGGAAGGGAGACGCAGTCAACTGGAACCCCAAACCCTAAAAACCATAAACCCCAGCGACCCCTAACCTCAAAATCCCTAAACCCTACAAACGCTAAACCCGCCGGGGCCCAAACTCAAAACCCTTAGAGCCCTAAACACGAAAATACCCAAAATCCTGAAAAGCTAACCAAAAGAGCCGAAACCCCTAAAACCCCTAAACCTTGAAAACCCTGAAACCCTCGAAACCCCAAGAACCCCCCAAAAACACCAAAAACCCAACAGCCCGAAAACCTAAAAGCCCCAAACCCTAACAACCGTAACGCCCCGAAAGCCTTGCAACCCCAAACCCTGAAATCCCTACAGCCTAGAAAACCCTACACCCTAAGAATTCCAGGAACCCAAACAACCCTAAAATAGCTTGAAAACATGGAACAAGCTAAACCTTAAAAACCCGGAGAAAAATGCTAAACTCCAACCACCCAAAAACCCGAGACACTCTAAACCCCAAATGCTAGAAACCCTGAGAATCCTGAACCCCAAGAGCCATTAACCTGTCAAACCCTGAATCCTGAAAACACTGACCCCTAAAAAAGCACAAAGCCCCAAAATCCTTAAACCCCAAACACCCTGAACCCTAAAACCCTGAACCCCAAAAACCCTGAACGCTAGACACCCCAAACCCCGCATCCTAAAAAACTATACCCTCAAGAAGCCTAAACCCTGAACCATACGAACTTTCAACGCTAAACACCCCCTAAAACACTAAAAGCATCAGAAACCCAAAAACCCAAAAAACCTGAACCCTGAAGACCCTAGAAACCCTAAAACCCTAGGGGCGCTAAAAACTCTAAACGCCGGGAAGGCGGGAAAAACAAATGAGCACCGGAAACCTTAAAACCCCTAAACCCTAAAAACCATAAACTCCAACAACCCCTAACCCTAAGATCCTTCAACCCTACAAACGCTCAACCCGCCGAAGCCCAAGCCCCGCACCTCCGAGCCCTAAACACAAAAATGCACAAAATCCTGAAAAGCTAACGCGAAAAGCCATAAAAAAGCATTGAAACTCTCGAAACCCTAAAACCACCCAAAATCCTCAAAAACCCAACAGCCCGAAAATCTAAAAGCCACAAACCCAAACAACCGTAACGCCCCGAAGGCCTTGCAACCCTAAACCCTGAAATCCCTACAGCGTAGAAAACCCTACACCCTAAAAATTTCAGGAACCCAAACATCCTAAACCCTAAAATTAGCTTGAAAACATGGAACAAGCTAAACCCTAAAA